CGTCCCCACTTCCCGGTGGCCGGGGCTGTGGGTTTGCTGGGCCCAGCGTACACCGAGTGCTTGGGAACACTTGCTGTTACTGTTATTGGAAGGTGGCCTCCCGTGACCTGTCTTCCCCCTCACTTCTCATGAGGGAAAACTCCAGGCTCAGAGAGGGTGTGGGCCCCGTTCTGGGTCACACAGCGCTCTGAGATGGCTGGGCTGGCGCCTCCCCAGGGCGGGTCCCTTGGGGCAGGCTCCATTGTACTCTCCCCAGCAGGAAACCGCTGCGCTCAGCACCCTGGGCAGCGGAGAAGAGGAACGAGTTTGGCTACGTGACTGGCCCTCCCTGGAGGCTGAGCCAGGATCAGTGCCCGGAAAACAACCTGCTGGGGTGGGCAGAGGGTGGAGGCCGCCCTGCTGGAGAAGGGGAAGTGGCCCAGGGCTGGCCTTCCCCCGGATGGTGCTGGGAGGAGGCTTCGGGGCCCTGTGCCCCAAACCTGCCTGAGGGGGCGGCTGGCTGGCGGCTTCCCTGACATGTGGCCTCTCTGAGGAGCCGCGGGCATGTGGGTGGGCAGCGAAGCCAGTGGGCACACGTGGCCTCTGGGGTGATCCGGGTGGGACGCCTGCCACTCATTGGCTCAGGCGTATGGGGATTCAGCGGGCGTCCAGGTGGGAGGAGGGCTCAGCCCTGCCCACGGGCTGCTTGGCTCCCAGGGAGCTGGTACCTGCAGGGCCAAAGCCAAGAGGCTGAGCCTCTGTGGAGCTGCCCGCCTCCTGGAGCCAGGTGAGGCCCTCGGGCCTCCTGGAGCCATGGCCGCCTCCCCTCTGCATCCAGAGCTGACTTGGGGCCAGGAAACCGGCTGGGAGGACAAGGCCCTGCAGGTCCCAGTTAGGCCAGGGACCCCAGGGAGGGTGCTGAATGTCAGACCAGCCAGGAGCCAAAGGGGAGCCATTGAAGGAGGCAGCACAGTGCAGAAGGGGGTCGGATGAGGCCGCGGAAGGGGCCAGACTGGAGGCTCGGAGGCCAAAGCTAGGGGGGTAAAGACCAGGCCAGAGAGGAGGCCACATTTAGACATCTGCAGGGGTCTGGGAGGCGGGAGGGGGAAGAAGGTGGGATGGAGGCCCAGAGGGTGAGGGAAAGAGGAAAAGAAACAGGAGGGCAGGCCGTGTCCGCAGAGCCCCAGCTGGGGACCCGGACACCTGTGTTCCCACGGCCTTATCAGTGGAGGCTCACTGTGACCCATTGCTTAAGGAAATGAAACTCGGGAAGAAGACCAGAAGAGAACACCCTGCAGCCGCAACCAGAGCTCAGCTGTCCCGTCTCCTGCCGCCACAGCCGGGGATTTTGCCTCAACTGCCTGCTCTCTGAGAAAGACAAGGTCCACGACACAGAGAGCTCCTGCCAACCCAGGGCTCCCGCACTCTCCAAGGTCCCCTCTAAAAGGGGGCTCTAAAGTCCTGCCTCAGAGGACTGGTGGCAAGAATAAGAGACGCTAAGGCAGGCGAGGTGGCGCACGCCTGTCATCCCAGCCACTTGGGAGGCTGAGGGAGGAGGATCTCAAGTTCAAGGCCAGCCTCAGCAACTTGGTGAGACTCTGTCTCAAAATTTTAAAAAATAAAAATATAAAAATAAAAAAAACCCCAAGAACTGTGGGGCTGAGGTTGTGGCTCAGTGGTAGAGCGCTGCCTAGCATGCATGAGGTACTGGGTTCGAGCCGCAGCACTGCATAAAAATAAAATAAAGATATTGGTTCCACCTATAACTAAGAAGTAAATATAAAAAAAAGAGCTGTGGATGTATCTCAGTGGTTGGTCGCTCCCGGGTTCAACCCCCATTGCTACAGGGAAAAGAGAGAGAAAGACCCTGTGTGGGGTGAGTGGCGTATAAGATCTAGCACGTCTGGCAGCCCGGGGACACTCTGGGAGGCAGATACAACCCACCCATCATGCAGAAGGGGGAGACTGAGGTCCGGGGAGGTGAAGGGGCTTGTTCATGATCACTCTGCAGTTCTAACCCCCAAAGCTGTTTTCTCGCCAGTAGGGGAGGAAAGGGGTGGGTGGTGGGTGCAGAATCCACCTGCCCCTCACTTGGCTGGAGGGAGAGGACACCCATCCCTCCTCCCATCTCTCCTGGCCTCCCCGCCCCCCCCCTTACCAAGGGCAGGCCCTGAGAGGGATGGTGCCAGTACCCAGGAGACCCCTTTCTGGCCAGCACCCATGCTGGGGCTGCAGGGACTCCGGGTCGAACCCGATCCCTTCTGCCTTAGCCACAGCCCGCTTCCTGTCCAGCTGCCTTCTGGGACGGCAGAGGGCAGTCCCTCTCGTGTACCCCATCCTGCCCAGGGCTGTGGGAGGAGAGCTCACACTGCTTCTCTCCAGGGCAGGGTCCTCTCTGGCCCCGGGTGCCCTGGCACTCTGCCAGCTCGCCCTGGGGGGAACTGAGGCCTCCCACGCAGAGGGGCTGCCGGGGCCCAGGTGGGACCTGGTCAGCTGGCTCCCAAGAGGGACCGGAGTCGTCCTCCTCCAGACACACCTTCTGGTGCCCAACCCAGCAGGGCCAGGGCCTCGAACTCGGCTGGAGCCAGGCAGAAGCCGCAGCCTGTCCAAGCACACCTGGCCAGGTGAGCGGGCCGCGAGGCCCAGAGCCAGCTCACGGCTTGGGTGTAAACAGCAGCCCAGTGGGAAGTGGGCAGGCGCCTCCGCGGCCGGCCCCAGCCCCCTCCCCGGGAGCCCCGCCCGCCCAGGGGAAGAGGATGTCCCAACTTGTCAGAGGAGTTGCCATCCCACACCTGAGCCCACGCTGGGCGTGTGCGGGGGTGACCCAAGGGGCCACAGAGAATCTTTGTCTTCCAGACCCCGCCCTTCCCTTCTCTCCCTGTTCCCCAGGCTCTTGGAAAGCCCAAGCCCCATCTCAGTTCCGCACTCAGAGGCCTCCAGGACCCCGAGCCGGGCAGAGCAGGGGCAGGTGGAGCTGGATCATGCCCTGAGCGTGCTTTTGCTCCCTGCTGCCACCAGCTGAGAACTGTGACCCTGGGAAGGAAGGTCTGCAGCCCCGAGGTTTCCAGAAGGGAAAAGAACACAGATCTCTACCAAGCTCTTGACCCCATGCCCCAGTGCCCTGGCACCTCCACTTAAAGATAAGGAA